GCTCAACATTGGCGGCCAGTGTAGGCTTCACCGGAGCATCCTCTTTCCAGGGTTCATAGTCTCCCTGGTTCAGGTTGTGGACTTGAAGATGGGCAGCCCCTTGAAGCTTCTTCCATGGCTCCGTACTCCAGAAGGAGACACACGAGGGCATGTAGTCCTTGGGGTCGGAAGGCTGCTCAAGTAGGAACATCACTTCATCCTTGTTTTTCTTTTCTTCATCTTCATTTGTTGAATCCTTCAACTTGGCAGCCATGTCCGCGACCAGGAAGAGAAAGATCTGGCGCCACATTAGGACATCATCTTCTTGACACATGGCCGTTTCTTCAGGGCTATAGGAACTGATGCCCCATGGCTCCTCCCAAGATCTTACAGGTCGTGGGCCGCCAGGATAATGTCGCAGAACAGATCGGGTACGACAATTGGGTCCCCCAATCACCGCCGCCAAATCCCCATCAAGCGCCAAACGAAGCAAGCCCTTGTAGGCTCGAATCCAGGGGTGCCATATCGTGATCTTCACCCCTCTGTAAGTCCACCTCCAAGGTACGGCTTCCCAAGCCATGCTCTTCCATAGCCTTCTGCAGGGTGAATCCTTCACGTTTTCCTGCATAAAAATGCAGGATCACAGAGCCAGCCGCCTTCAGCCGCTTTCGTTGGCGCCGGTTGGCAGGAAGATCCTTCCACTCCCCCGGCTGTTGAACCAAGGCTTCCTTGACATGATCAGGAAGTTCCACCAAAGCAGGATGGCCTTCAACCAAAGACTTCATCCATTCCACCTCCCTTTCAGGGTGCATTTCACCCACCAGGCGAGCTTGCTTGACTTCTTGGGCACGATCTTCATACTCCTGGATGAGCTCAAGGGCAAGCCGCTTGGGGATTTGTGGACACCCCGCTTGGATGCTGATAGGCAAAGATCCTTTTGTAGGATGGGAGACCTTCATGCCATGCTTTTTCCATGAGATCTTACATCCTCCACCAGCCAGCATCCCAAGGGGCACCATTGGTTCCACTTGTAGGTTTGTTGAAACCATCACCCCCGACTCAGTCATCAAAAGAGGTGTGGTGCGGCCATCAGCCAGGGACACAGAGACCTTCTTGAACTTCTCGAGGCTGTCCGTAGATGCAAGAGGCCTCAGGGGATGCGTAGCACCAGAGTCCAAGAGTCCCCATTCTTCTTCTTGTAAAGACCCCATCTTCGCTTCACGAACCCGGGTCAACTTCAGGGTTTTGATACTTGTCTTGATCTCATCAAGCTGCTGATGCAATCGGCTTAGCTTGGCTTCTGAAGCTTCTTTGTCCTTCATCGCCTTGAGCATCTTGTTGGCCTCAGCGAGAAGTTCATCCATCTTTTCATCATCTTGACCTCCACTTCCTTTTCCTCCTTCCTCGCCTTTTGGATCCTTGTCTTCTTCTTTTTCCTTCTTGACTTTCGGTGGCGAGTTGGGAACAGCTCCACCTGAGTTCTCCTTCGTAGGACAGGTAGGGGCAAGGTGCTTCGTGGAGCCACATAAATAACACCTTTTTTGTTCATCCTTTTGGTCATGCGACCATTTGCAATCACGGCCACGACGACATCCGGCCTCGCTGAGGAAGAACTTGCATGGCGGCTTGACTTCCATCTCTTTTAACTTACCTTCACTTCCTTTGGCCTTCTTGTTGACCTCCTCAATCTTCTTTACTTTATTTTCTTCCTTCTTCGTAGTTGCACCACTTCGCTTCTCAGCCAAGGAAAGCTGTTCGATCTCAGCGATGAGATGGGTTGCGAACTGCTTTCATTGCCATCCAAAACTCGCTTCGTCAAGCGATTCAGACCCTTGACCAGGATGGACGGGTCTCCAATCTCCTGAGCCCTTGCACGCCAGCAGGCCAACCACCGTGTCGTGCAGATTTCCTGGTTCCGTTGGATCTTCGAGGTTCCGCAGGAGCATTTGTTTCTCACTGATGCCACCAGGACAGTAGATGACGTGAAGATGAGCGAGGATGGCGAAAACTGACAACCTTTTTGTAGCCACCAGTTCATTTTTGTGAACCTCTGGAATTGCCTTCAGCAACAGGGTGGCCATTCGCCGTTCCAACTTCGCCCACTTCGGAACACTGAGTGATGATGGAGGGACAGGTTCATGTTTGACCTGATCCAAAGGAGCCATTGCTTGGTGGTCTTGATACCACTTCTCAACCTCAGTCATCATCCGATCCCACCAAATGTCAGAGGCGGTCGTCAGGTCAGCCACCACCGGCTGAACAAGAAGCAGCCAATCACCCAGCTGCAGCGTGCAGCTGCGAGGTGGAACCATGTAGTGGATGTAGAACAGGTAGTTCAGCAACCTGACGGACAATCTCCACCCCCTTCACCGTTCCTTGAGCTTCTTGTCCCTCCGAAATCTGTCGTTGGAGAGACTTCATACTTTCCACCAAAAGTGTCATCACTTCCTTCTGTTGAACTTCAGGGGACAGCTTGGCTCCCCCGGTTGTAGGTCTAGGCCCCTTCATTTCCCCTTTTCCATAGGATGGACTTCGACCCTTCCTCTGTTGTTCTTTGGAGCGGGACCTGGAACCCTTGACCCCATAGCGAGCCGGGTAGGTAGACCATGGTGTGCGTCCTCGGGCATGTAAATGGTCAGTTCCCGGAATCCCGTTCGGTCCCTCTTCATCGGGGGTGTTGAAGTTGGAGGCACTTCTTGGTCGTTCCCTTTCCTCCATTTCTTTCTTCTTCTTTTCTTCAACCTCCAACCTCCTTCTGTCTTCACCCTCAATCCTCCATTCATAGAGCTCTTGCTGGAGGCGATCATTCTCACGTTGTTGGGCCTGGCAAAGGTCAGTGAGCCGTTGCACATCCTGAGAGATCTGCCAGCGCCACATGATTTCCTCCTCTTGGTCTTCCCGTTCTCGATCGCGACGGGTCCTTCGAGGATCGTTGGAGCTCTCTTCACATCTTGTCAGCTCCTCACTTTCTTCTTCCTCCATCTCCACCACTCTTCTATACCCCTCTTTCTTACCTCCTCTCTTTCCTTCCCTTTTTTCTTCTTCTTCTTCCAGGAAGGCAGGGCGAGACACCTGAGTAGGCCGATCATCACCTGAAGAGGACGGCATCAGACCTGGGCCAAAGAGCTGGGGAGCAAGTCGAGCCGATGCTTTAGCTTCTCGGATCTGTTCCTGAGTGAACAGGGGCTTCATGACCTGCGGTGCTGGTGGTGTCAAGGGAGCAAGAGTTGTGGGCATTCCTTTCGGAACTTCAACCGCACTTTCTTTTGACCCACCACTCTTAAACACCTCCATTTCAGTCCTCCCTGTTCCAGTATTCCCCGGCCCTGTCGTCGAGCGAGCCGGGGTACTAAACTCCTTCTTTTCATCTTCTTCTTTCTTTCCATCACCATCCACAGCCGCAGCCTCTTGCTTCGGCACCAGCTCATCGCTTCGCGGCTCAGCAGCAGGTGGCGGCAAGGCCAGGCGTCCATCATCGGGCTCCATGGTTCGTCGCCGTCGGAGCATGGACGGGTGAGGTAAAGAAGTTGGTTTAGCTGTTGGGCTCATAACCTGTTGGTGTTGGGACATGGTCGTGTTCCCTTAAATGCAACAAGCTGCAACCGAAAAAGACTTCGCTGCTCAAACACAGTTCTTTTCCGTCGTGACCCCGGGTCGTCTCCGGACCACTTAAGGTCTTGGTGAGGTCTTGAAACCTCATTGAAAAGGGCTGCGGCATTCGCAGCAGTTCGAACAAAAGCGTGTCATCCTTGCTCAGGGGCCATGCATCAACAGTATGTATCCGCTAGGCCATGTATACATGTGCAATATTCCGCATTGTGTCCGCACCAAGACACTTTAACTGCAAGGAGATTGCAATGGCCTTGCAACAGTCAGTGATGTGTCAGGTCCATAATGATGATCGATCGCCTTGATATTGATTTTGAATGCTACCCTGCGACCTGTAGCGCGCTCTCAATGTCTCTTCATGATTTAGCAGGCGACATGCCCCTTTTTTGTAGGAATATAATTGAATATAGCGAATAGAATAGGTGTAAACAGGTTTGCCTTTAGAGAAAGTTGAAGACTGTTGACTGTTCTCAGGGACAGTTCTCCACGTTGGGCCGCTTGCGAGATGCAACAGTTTTGCGTTTCTATCCCAGTTTGTTGAATGCGACAGGTAAGGCAGGAATGTGGCGTGGTGTGATGCAGTTGCATTGGGCGGCATGTACACACGGCCCGTCGCTCCTACCGATTGAGTGATCCGGTGAACAACTCGGGCTGTCGCAGTTCTCAGCTTCTGGACGTTGCGTGGAAGGCATGGCGCCCACAGCGGTGAACTACTTCTGTCTCCAGTCTCTCTGCTCCCGCCTTGTCTCCCAATCACGTGCTTTCTCTGTTGGAATTCAAGTTGCCCATTCAAAATGCACAACTCCTTGTGAATCAAATGTCTTTTCAGATTGGCGCACGGCATCCAAAAATTCACCAAAAATATGAGACTCTGTGCGAGATGGTTCAAGGCATTCTTGATACTTGTTTAGCGTTTCTTTTTGAATGTCTACTGATACAAGTTGTCTGGTTGTAGATGTTTGCTTTAAGAGTGGCGTGATGTTCCTTCAAATAAACCCAATACCCTGGAACAGATTGCAACGTCAAACAAATCTGAATCACACGCCAACGTTGAACCATTATCGCAAGGCTGACCTACTTTTCTTTGCAACAACACAGTGATCAAATGAAAACACAAGGAAAACAGGTGAATGGCACTGCTCCCGAAGTTCCGAATATCTTCAAAACGGCTAGGCTCTAACTTAATAGTTTTCACTTGCATATAATCAGGATGTTGTTTCACAGTTCTGGGAGTTGACTCCATGGGCACAATCCATCACTTCTAAATCACTTGCGCGGACTGTCATGCTCTTCTTTGCTGAATATGTTTTGTCAAATTTCAATTGCTTTTTGCATTGCTATACTCAAGGTGCACCCCTGCTCTATACTCCCTGCTTGCAAATCGTTCTTGTGAATCTGTGGCGCCAAGTTTCTTCTTCGGTCTTGCCCAGAAGATACCAAACCTTGCACGCAGTGCAGAAACCAATCCGCTATAGTCACTAGACCCTAAATCGATGGTGCTCTTCACCTTCACATACTTCGCGCACACAAAAAGCACGCGCACACACACACACTTAGATTGATGTTCGCAAGAGCTAAATCAGTTGAAGAAGTTCCACTTTACTGCACGTAGACCTTTACACGCAAGTAGACCTTGACTCGATGCAACGGTAAGGAGTGAGCAGTTCGTTCACTTGAATGTTTCAACAGCACACATTGGCACTTTAGAGGCGATTAAACAGTTGCTGCAGGTACGTGACTTTGGCGTCCCAAAGTCATTTCACAACACGATGGAAGGGTCTTGGGCAATGCCTTCCAAAGTGTTCATTGCCCCCGGCTCTAAATGAGTTAGCCCACCAGTGGTGTGGTGAATTAGGCAATGCAAGTTCCTTAGAAACAGGGATGGACACACACAAAAAGCCGTGAATCCGGCGCGCGTAGGTGAGAGCAGCCGCAAGGTAGTTGATCTTCATGTGGTGGCTGCAGGAGGGTTTGCTCCCGTCGCCGATGGTTGTGGAGTTTGCTGCGTAGTGTGACGCGTGCTGCCTCCCGTAGTTTGCATGTAGGGAGGTGGAAGGGTATGGCGTATGGTTTGTATACTGATGCAGTATGGATGCAAGCCAGCGCTGGGTAGTGGACTGGAAGTCTTCATGTGCTCTTTGGTGGTGTCAGGTTGCGGTATTTCAGGGCGTTGAGGATTCCGAATGGCGCGACTGCGGCCCATGGTTCCTCTAGACTGGTGGCCACGCGTCGAATGGCGTAGACCTCAAGGTCGGTGTATCGACTCTCGACCCGACCGTAGTTTGCGGGCGGTGTCGTAGTGAGGTCTCGAAGCACCGTGAGTGCATGCAGTGTGATGTATACAGGATGGGTTGTCGGACAGTGTGAAGTCGTCTGCGGAGGCGACGAAAAAGCCGGTAGTGATTGGCCAAGCTGGGATATAAATGGCCAGTTGAGTGTAGGCTTGTGAAATGTATGGGTGCTCGTGAATCCATGCCTGATCATAGTCGGGAAAGGTGACGAGGTGGACAGTGGAGTATTGCGCGATGGCGCCGGTCGAGTGCCAGTATCGCAAAGAAAGTTTGGCTGAGATGGGTGTGGTGTGTTGTTGGCAAGCTGCTTGAGTTTGGCCCATCGGTTGTGTTCATGTTCGGTTACCACCGAAGGCCCTCCGGGCATGCCACGGGCGTCCTGGCCGGCGCCCGGATTTATGAGGCTTACGCCTGACAGCCGGGCGCCGGCCTATTTGGGTTTGGGTATGCGCAGGGCTGGGTCCTCTCTCTCTCTCTCTGTCTCTCTCTCTCCCTCTCTCTCTTTGAGACTTGGTGGGGCCTATATTGAGCAAAGTTAAGCTATCTGGTGCGCATCTTGGCCCTAGGTTGGGCCAAGTTGCGCCCATGTGGTCTATGTTGGGCCTAGGTCGGCCTATGTTAGGCCTATGTTGGCCTAGGTTGGGCCTATGTTCGGCCTATGTTGGCGTATGTTGGCCCCATGTTGGCCTATGTTGGCCCTATGTTGAGCCATCTTGGAGGCTATGTTGGGCATATGTTGGGGATATGTTGGCTATCTTGGGCCTATGTTGGGGATATGTGAAGCAACTTATGCGCCCAACACCCACGAAATGCCGATTAAGCCTGTCCGCGCGGCGCGCGTTACCGACACCACGGGCGCCCTCCCGATGTTTTTGAACATTTTTTGAACATCCTGCGCAAGACACATATAGATCTGTCGACCGGATTCGGGCGGGGGGGTCGGGCAGGGGTATACACGCGGCTCAACAAAAGGGTCGGCGGCAGGGGCGGCGAGCGTATATAACCTTCGGTTACCAACCGAAGGCCTCCGGCAAGGACACGGGCTTCGTGGCCGGCGCCCGGATTTAAAGGCTTACGCCTGACAGCCGGGCGCCGGCGAACTAGGGTAAGAGAGGTGTGGGTCGAGGCGACGGTAGGCGTTGCTCGCGGTGTGGGCGAGGCGTGGTGTGGGGAAGGGACCCGCCATGTTTCCGCGGAGTCTTCCATGGAAAAGACGGGGGCCGGGGTTTGGGGCACCCCGGCAGCACCCGTCAGAGGGACGGGGGCTGACTGCCCTGGTTGCTTGCAGCAACCAAAAGTCGGGAGAGCCGTCGGAGAGAGAGGAGGCACGTGGAGCGCGATGCGTGCAGGGAGGCGGCACCTGTCAGCTGGCAACAAGAGCGTCGCTCATGCCAGCCAGGCACAGCCCGGGTGAGGAGAGGCAGACGTCATTCCACCCTCAAGGACATCGTCTGCAAGTTGATGCGCCAGCGAGGCCGGCGGGGGTGGAGAGGTTGGGGGTCGAGGCGTCGACGCCGCAAGGTGGAGACGTAGAGTGGCAAAGGACTTGGACAGCATGCTGCAGAGAGTAGTTACTGGCGAGACGTGGGCTCAACAACAGGCGAGCCTGTGAACAGAGCAAGAGCATGTGCAAGCCAGAAACAGCCTCCAACCCAAAGACACCAGAAGCAACCAGCGCTGAACTCCCAGAGTGATAGGATGGCAAAGAGTAGAGTGCAAGAGAAGCTAGGAGACGGCTAGGGTTAGAGAGCAACAGCAACAAAGCACAGAAGCAACCAGCGTCGAACTCTGAGAGTCAGAGGACGAAGCTAGGAGACCGCTAGCGTAGGAAAGCAAGAGCAACCACAAGCACACTCGACCTTTCTTTTTCTCTGCTCTTGGTCTCAGCCATGGAGACCGAGAGTGCTCGCGACGCACCGAGCGCATCGCCGACGGTGCCGTCGGCTGAAGCCATGGAGACCGGCGGCGCCGCGGTGCGCGCAGCCGACATACCGAGAGCGTCGCTCACGGTGGTGTTGGTGGATTCGACGGGCTATACCGGTTGCCCGGGCAAAAGTTGGGAGACGCTGCGATGGATTTTCGCAAGTGTGGGGGCGTGGAGACGGTTGCGAGCATTGTCAGTGGGGGCAGCATTGTGAAGCCTGGCAAGAAGGATGGCGCGAACATCCTCGACCAATGGCGGGGAAGAGACCCATGGAGGGGACGTGGAGGTGGAAGTGGGCGTGGTGCCAGCCCGCGACTCCGTGCTAGGGGCACGGTATGAGGCCCTCGGGGTAGCGCGGCTGGCATGTGGCGTCCCGGAGTTGAGCAAGAGCATCTTGGAGATAGTCCCTGGTGCCTATGGAGAGGCCAAAAAGGCCTTGCACTTTCTGCCTGCCTGCGCGTCGGAGAGCATGGAGCGGGTAGTAGAGGCGGCGCGAGCAGAGCTGGAAGTGCGTCGAGCATAGCGTCGCTCACCCGGCGCTGAGGGAGCCCCCGCGTCAGAGCGTCGCTCAACCGGGGGCAGCGGGGCTTGGGTCGCCGTGGTGATCTGTGCCGGGTGGAACTGCAACGAGGTGGAGAATTTGCAGGAGGCATTTGTCGTGAAGCAGCTCTGCGAGACGCAGACGTGGAGCGAGTTCCTTTGGGCCTGCTCGGCGCACTCTAGCAAGAAGCGGGCATGGGCCAAGACGGCACAGGCCTTGGACTTGGCGCCGCCGAAGTTGTTCCAGGCGAACCGGGAGGATCACCCACAAGCTGCGGCCAATAAGGCACAGTTTACCCAAGGGTTGGAAAGACATTTTGTCGGAGACGCAGAGTGCGTCGCAGACATCCAGAGCTTGGGCGGTTCTGCGCTCCTCGCGCGCTATGAGAGCTTTCAGCAACCTGCCCATAGGGCGGACCTGTGGCGGTATATTCGCTTGTGGAAAGAGGGTGGAAGTTTCTTGGACATCAAGATGGCGTTGCTGCAGCCGTGGAGCGCAACCCTGGAAGAGATTTATGCGGAGGGAGAGAGATGCTTGGAGGGACAGCGCGTCGCGCAGTCGTCGGGCCAGCGCGTCGCGCCGCCCACGGAGGCGCGAGCTTTGTCGCAAGTCCCGCACCTCCTCCTCAGCATCGGACAAAAACGCAAACATATCTTCCAGGAAAACATTTGGCACGCGTCCGCGAAGCATCCGCTCTTAGCCAGAGCGGTGGGACATGCGCTGGGCACGTCGCAGAGTCACCTGAAGCGATACCTGTTGTTCTGCGAGTTTTTGTGGGCAGAGCTGCGGCGCGACCTCGGCAAGGACCCAGTGCCAGGGTGGAACTTCTGCCCCACGCTTGGCCCCATCTACCTTTTTTAGGAGAAGCTGGATGGGCAGGGGAAAGCCGAGCGCGACCGACGTGGGCGCACATGCTTGGGGGAGGAATTTCCTGTGGATGGTCACTTCATGTTCACCACTAGTGGCACGAGGTATGCCGCCACCCGGGCGTGGGGCTGGAAGAAAGGTTTCCTACCAGTCGCCCTGGGAGCCATCGCGACACAGCGGGCAGAAGCGCAGAGCGTAGCTCAGCCGGAGCCACAGCCTGGCACTCCTGCCCCCGAAGCGCCGAGTGCGCCGCCCCCGGAAGCGCCGAGCAGCAGCGCCGCGCCGAGCGCCGAAGCGCAGCAGCGCGTCGCGCAGTTGCAGGAGACACCGAGCGCGGCGACAGTGAGCGGCGCCAGCGCCAGCGCCTGATGTCGACGCATACACATTGGACTCGAACTCTACCCAGTCGCTGGTTCCTGTGCACCTTGCTTCTAGCTAGCAGCTGTGCCATCTTATGTAGTTCTGCAAGACACCTGGACCCATTCTTTTGCATCAACCTCTGCGGTTGTGTCTTCAGCTTGCAAGCACGACGTGCACTCCGAGCTACTTCGCGCAAGCAAGGCTGGATCCAGAAAAGTCGCTCCGCAGGCGGTCGGCGCTGCAAAGGACATCGCCGACAGAAGGCCCGGAGAAGGTTGCGCGCAGCACTGCAAATACCCCAAGGCTCCGCTTAGTCTATCTGAGAATAGGATATGTCTTATCCTATCATCAAGATAGTCTCGAGGCTATCATCAAAATAGACTATCCCAAAATAGTCTTTTTATGGTCTATTTTGAACTGTTAAACTTTGATGAAAAACAAAAATCTCTGCGCTCAGAA